TTACAATGAGATAGCACCTCACACCCATCAGAATGTCTGTAATTAATAAGACAAGAAATAACATGGGGCCGGCTCCGTGGCCGACTGGTTAAGTTATCGCGATCCGCTGCGCCGGCCCAGGGTTCGGATCCTGGGCGCAGACATGGTACCGCTCGTCAGGCCACGTTGAGACGTCGTTCCACATCCCACAACTAGAAGGACATGCAACTAAGATATACAACTGTGAACGGGGCGGGGGGGGGGGGGGGGGGAGTGGTTTGGGGAGATAAGGCAGGAAAAAAAAAAAAGATTGGCAACAGTTGTTAGCCCAGGTGCCAATCCTTAAAAAAAAGGAAGATTGGCAACAGTTGTTAGCCCAGGTGCTAATCTTTGAAAAGAAAAATTAAAAAAGAAATAACAAGTGTTGGAGAGGATGTAGAGACAAGGGAACCCTCATACACTGCTGGTGGGAATGCAAACTGGTGCAGCCACTACAGAAAACAGTATGGAGATTTCTCAAATAATTAAAAATAGAAAACCCATATGATCCAGCTATTTCACTACTGGGTATTTATCCAAAAAACATGAAATCAATAATTCAAAAAGATATATACACCCCTATGTTCATTACAGCATTATTCATAATAGCCAAGACTTGGAAACAATCCAAGTGCCCATCAACGGATGAATGGATAAAGAAGACATGGTACATATATACAATGGAATACTATTCAACCATAAAGAAAAGACAAAATTGTGCCACTTAAGAACATGGATGGACCTTGAGGGTATTATGTTGAGTGAAATAAGTCAGTCAGAGAAAGACAAATACCGTATGATTTCACTCATGTGGAAGATAAACAAACATACACACTGATAAGGAGAACAGATTAGTGGTTACTAGAGGAGAAGCAGGTGGGGAGAGGATGAAAGGGGTAAAGGGGTACACATGTATGGTGATGGATAAAAACCGGACTGTTGGTGGTGAAAATGATGCTGTCTATACAGAAACCAAAATATAGTGATGTACACCTGAAATTTATACAATGTTGTAAGCCAATATGACACTAATAAAATAATTTTTAAAAAAGATCCAGATCATTGGGAGTTGCTCCACTCCCACCCCCAGAGTCTCTAAGGCAGTGAGGTAGGTGCTGGGGGTGAGGCGGAGGGGTGCGGGAGGAATTTGCATTTCTAATGAATTCCCAGTTAATGCTGACAAGGGACCACACTTTAAAGACTGCTATACTAATAACGAAAAAAAATACTTTGTTTATTTCCTAATAATAATAATAATGTATCAATATTTGTTCTCCAATTGTGACAAACGTTTCACACCAATACAAAGTGTTAATAATAAGGGAAACTGAGTAGGGGAGAAAGGGGGCACATAGGAACTTTCTATACTATCTGCTTAACCATTCATAAACCTAAAACTGCTCTAACAAAACAGTCTATTAATTTTCTTTAAAAAATGAAAAGAAATTTAAAAACAGTCAATGAGGTTGGTTGTCAAACTGGTCAATGAAAAAGTTAATGTAACATTTAACAAGAGGAACTTGGACACAGAAAGAATCTAATTAAATCACTGTTTAATAACCCATGTTTGATGAGAACTGTCTGCTATGAGACCATATCAGAAGATGCTATGGTCTCCATGCAATTAAGATTAACAGTAGAAAGAAAGTACATCATCTACACGGATGTAAACCATGGGCAGACATAGAGAAGGAAGAGAATGCTACTTAACATTATAAATGTACTTTTAAAACTAGTGACTCTCTCAGGGCTTATTTTCACAAAACTGACTCTATCTGAATTTTGAAATCTCAACAAGGTTTTGTCCAAATAGTAAAAGCAGACTAGGATACCCACAGAGAAATAAAGGCAGAAATAACTGTTTATGTCAATCTAAGCTGTACTAGCCAGAGTTTTCACAGAGGAGACAGGCTACCCTATATTTTGCTATTTATGCCTCATATCCTTTTCTTTCTATACTTCCATGCAAGTTGCCTCCTTGCATCCTGCTAGTTTTCAAACAGTGCTCAGAATCTTTCAATCTGATCTTTCCACGACCAGCAGGAGGAGGCTAGGGAGCATAAGGCATTCCAAAATCTGAGTTTTTGTGCCTAAAATTCTTATTTTCAATTTTATAGAGCTGGTATTCACATATCAGTGATAAGAAGTTTAAATATAAAATTACCTTTTAGTCCTCAGATGGGTTATAATCAAGGCTTTAGATTTAGTTCAGTCTCCTCTTTCTATGGAACACAGACTCAGAGAAAACTCTATCAAAGGCCATGACTCAAGTCCTGTGATATTGCATTCGATACTCTTTTCATAAGAGTACGCCATCTTTACGTGATCTAAACACCTTATGGGCATCTCATCCTGCTAGGTAAGGAGTGAGTGTGTCCTGGAACGGCTGACTCCCTAACCCTGCCTCTGGAAGCTGGCCTTCCAGTCTGCAAAAGCCAGAAGGCGGGCTGTCCTATTTCAGTAAATATGTTTGTAAATTCTTATAAAAGTAACATACAATCATTGTAGAAAATTTTGCAGAAGCAGCAGCAGGAGGAGGGGCAGGAGGAGCTGGAAGAAGAAGAGGGGCAGAGGAAGGGAAGAAGGGAGGAAGGGAGGGAAGAAAGGAGGAAAAAAAAGAAAAATCAACACTTGGAGTTAACAAATATAAGCATTTTAGTGCTTATCATCCTGGATGATTTGTAATATTCGGCACACTCTTGTAAATTGCCTTTTTCTATTTAACATCTATCTCACCATGGGAGGCAGTGTGGCTAGACATAGAAAGTGGCAGAAACTGTAGCTAGTAGATGAGAGTGCAAACTTTGGAACTAGACTGCCTGGTTCATACCTCGGTCACACAGCTGTGTGACCCTGAGCAGGCTTCTCGACCTCTCTGTTATCTCAGTTTCCCATCTATAAATGCAGATAAGAATAGTAACTACTTCTTCATAGGGTCTATTGTGAGGACTCAACGGCTTAATATATCTAAACCATTTATAACAGTGCCTGGCACAAAGTACATTCTATATGTAGGGTCAGTAAACTTTTTCAGGAAAGCACCAGACAGGAAATATTTTAGGCTTCGCAGGGTCCTATGGTTTCTATTGCAACTCCTCAATGCTGTCTTTGTAGCACAAAAGCAGCTGTAAAGGAATGAGCATGGCTGGGTTCCAATTAAACTTTATGGCCACTGAATTTGAATTTCATATAATCCTCACGTCATGAAATATTCTTCTTTTGATTTGTTTCAACGATTAAAAAATGTAAAAACCATTTTAGCTCCGCAGCAGTGGGCTGGGGCTTTGGGCCACAGTTTGCCCACCTCTGTTCTATACAATTTGCAGACATCATGATGTCTCTAATATCTTTCTACAAATTATTTTTGATGGCGCTTAGAACAAGATGGTTTGCATGTCCTATAATTTACTTAGTCCCCTATGGTTAGAATTTGGGTTATGTCCAGTGTTCATTATTATAAGCCACCCTCCAAAGAATATCCATGCAAAATCTTTGTGCCCATTTATTATCACAGCTACATCTTAAAATGTATTTAGTGCTAGCTACCAAAAGGCTGGCAGAGCATCTAGAAAGAAACAGACTCTGAAGAAGTAGCCTTGAAAACCTATCTTGTATAGTTATAGCAAATTTCAAACATGTTCGAGAAGGAGCTTTATAATATATATTCACACACATAGAACTTGCTATGTACCACGTACCATTCCAAGGCTTTATATGTATTAAATCATTTAATCCCCAAAACAATTCTATGAGATACAAGTGCAATCATCATCATCATCATCATCCCCATGGTACAAAAGAGGAAACCGAGGCACAGAAAAGGTAAGTAACTTCTCAAGGTCACACAGCTAGCTGGTAGCAGAGGCAGGATTCAAACCCAGTCTGTCCGGCGCTAAGGCCCGTGTTCTTGGACGATATACCGCACTGCCTGCCCACCGCAGAGACTTGGCGAATGTGCATGCACCTCCAGCTTCTACTTTATAACGTACCTACGGTCTTTTTTATATTTAGATGATGCCCGGCACGCATGAACGACCTCATACCCTAATAATTGGCATAAATTCTATCCCACAATGGGACACTTGGGGTAGAAACTGAATGCTCATCTAACCTCCCTCTTTTGTCCTCCAACCCCTCCTCCCCTGCCAATTCTTCCTTAATTTGCCCTGCATTTCTTACCCAAAATAGTTGTCCTCTATAAACAGTAAAGGTTGATTGGAGCATACTTTCATATCTTGTTTTCCAGTTACGGTCCCAAATCAACCAAATTCACGTGGCAAATTCGGGTGGAGCTTCGCCTACAATGGAGTGCCCTGCACCGCCAAGGGAATGCAAAGTTCGGATAAGTACCCTCCTTCTTGGAAAACAAAACAGTGGCTCCTGTCAAAGTCTCTAGCGCGTGGCCCTGGCAGCAGCAGGGCTGGCTTGCTCCGGCCCCTCGCCGGGTCCCCGAGGGCGGTGTCCTGGGCCCGTGTGGACCAAACCGCCAGCCTCCGCCGCCGGCCTCTGCCGCCAGTCTCAGATGCGAGTTGCGCGCTTTCCCGGCCCTTCCTCCTTGTGCTCAGATGCGGGCAACTGTCCCAGGAAGGAGTTATACGAGTGGATCGCTCGACTCTGAGGGGGAATGAAGATTCTAGTTCTCATTTCTTATCCTGATTTCTCTCCCTGCGGGCACCCTACTGCTCGAGTTACCCTCCCAGGGGATGATCAACCAACGTCGCTGGTCGCAAGATGTTGCCCGCCCCTCTACTCATGCCCAAACAAGGACAGAATCGAGAAGTAGAGAGGAAACGAGGACAGCAAGAAGCGGGTGTTTCAAACTGATCCCGGCTGTGCAGACGCGGCGCTGGAGTTGCAGGAGCCCACGGGGAGTCCTGGCCGAGGCCCGGGGCTCCGCCCGCCGGGGGGCGCCGGGGCGGCGGGCGCGTGCGCGGTGCGGCCCCAACCCCGGCCGCCGCCGCCGCGATGACTATTTTAGTCCAAGCCGCTGCCGGCGCGGGGACCCTGCACTGGCGGAGGAGCCTCCCGACCCGCCCATCGGCTGCGGCGTTCGCGTCGGGCGCCCGTCGAGTCGCCGTGTGCCCCGCGCCCCGCTGCTGTCGCCCCAAACTTCAGCCGGCGCCGCCCAGGCTCGGGGCCAGGGACAGGCCAGGTAAGGAGCTGGGGGCGCAGCTGCCGCCGGCTCCCCCCCGCGCGCCCGGCTATTTGCAGCCTCGAGCTTCCGGGGCTAAATCGAGAAGCGAAAGTTGGATCCCTGCTCCGCTGGGAGCAACTTTGTCGGCCCCGGCGGCGGCCGCCCGTTCCCCGTGCCTCGGCCGCGGGGAGCCGCCCTCGCGGGGCTCCCTGTCCTTGTCTGCCGCTCTTCACCCTGGTCTGAGCGCCGCGGCCACAGACCCTCAGGCGTCAGCTGCCGCGATTCGGGTCTGGCAGCGCCAGCGTCCCCGGGCGCTCGGGCCCCATCGGGTGCCCGTTCCCGCGCTGTGCCGCGGGCCAGCCCTTGGTGAGCTCGGCCTCTCCCCTCCTTGCTTCGCTCCGGGGGCTCCCGGTCCCAGAACCCACAACGACTCCCCCTCCTTCCTGTAGGACCGCCGGGTCCTAGGCGGAGGCAGCGCGCAGCCGGGCGCATCGTGTCGCCCAGCCCTTCCCGGCGCTGGCTGTTCGAGGTGGGGCACGGCGCTCACCGCACACCCTCGTGAACCGAGAGCTCCGGGTCAAGGAGAACAGTTGACGCTGACGTTCCTTCTTGAAGGAGCGAGGTGAGTGGGGCCCCTGGGGAGCGCAGATGGCTGGGGAACCCGTGATCCTTGCCACCCACCCGCACCCTCGTTTCCGAGGCTTTGGGAAACGGGTTGTTGGCCAGACGAGTCCCAGAAGCTGCTTGCTTTGAAGCAAGAATAAGTGCGAAAAGACTCTTAGCAACGTAATGCCCCTTGCCGTTCCGAAGATGTGCAAAGGTTCCGTTAGAATTACGGAATGAATTGAGTAAGTCTACTAGCGCGACTTTTGCTCATTGCTGTCTTTTTCATTTTTGTAGTTTGGTGAAGGGTTAATGTTAGTTTCACCATTTAGCCCTGCATATACCAATTTGAAAAGCAATAGATAAACAGGACCTTACCAGAACTGGTGATTTCAGGAATTAGACTCCGAGAAACTAATAGGAGAAAGAAAATTTCTCTTGATTTAGTCAAAATTAATCTGAACGTTTACCAATTTACCAGTCTAACCTTCCTCATTAGACCCATTCGTTCTGTATATAAGCATTAGTTCAGTGTAAGCCACATAAATCCATTAAGCAATGATCAAAGGAAGCTGAAACAGACAAGATCTGACCGATATTTATTGACAATAGGCAACTGACTATTTCAAAATAGACATATAGATAAATAATACAGATATACATACAAATTAATAAATTATATATAATGAATATATAATGTTAATTATTATACAATACATAATGCATACAGAAAATTAAATATATAGACTATATTCTTTCTTTAATAAGGTGTGGTGCATCAAAATATGTTGTAGGAGTATCCTCCCCTTTGAAAATTCATATTACTATTTCCCTGGTTCTGGGGTCAGTAGCTCATAGTTTTCCTAGCATTTCTCTTGACCAGAAATTGGTATTTTTAGTGCCACTTGAAGAACTTCTAGGAGCCTGAAATTGAACTACAGTGGATTCGTTGGCAATACAGATGTAATCGGGTGGGTGTGGGGAGAAATATGTATTAATTAACCTACTATATAGATGTGTCTTAGAGCCACAGGCTATTAAAACTTGAGGGAGTTTCAAAGACCATCTGGTCCAGCTGTCCCTGTTCCCAGGAAGAAGCTGACCCAAGGAGCAGAAGGGACTCTCCCTGGCTCATGTGGCTCCTGGGGCTTGTGGTGTAGACCCTGGCTCGCTCAACCTCAGGAAGGCGAGGCCCTCTCCTGTCTTTACTTTGGGGTTTGGGGAGACTGAAAAAGTGATTTCTGAAAGTGATCATTGCCTTTGTGTCCCTTCCGTATAGCTTCCACCTCTGCCCCTGGCATTCTTTACAGAGGTTAGGCCTTGGATATACAAAGATGAATATGACATTATCCCTGCCTCAGAGAGAACATAGGGTAGTTCAGAAGAGCAAATAGGACAATGAGAGTGAAAGCTCATTCTAAAGAGCCGTAGAAATGTTAGGTATTATTGGCTTATGTAATGCGAATACATAAGCTGACGTTGACATTAGCATATGAGTGATAGAGGACGTTGAATATCATTCTCCCTCCTGCAGAGATTATGAACTCAATTCTGATTTTGGTCCTTGAAAGCAAATTTTTCATAAATGGAGTTATTAAAATAATGATGTCCCCCCATCCCAATAGGCTTATGTTTTATTGATTCAGATGTTTGGAAAGTAGTTGACTTTTTATGAGTTCTTTCCTTTTTGCAGCAAATCAATATCTAAGGCAACTATTTCTCATATTTATGAGCTATTTCAGAAGGATGGGAAGAGACCTTTAATTGACTTGATTTCATTCACAGTTGTAAATTTGTGTGTATTTTTTATCATTTTAAGAGATTTGGAATTCTGTCACATTTATTTGTTAACATCCTTTCAAACCTGTACCAATTATTCTGCCCCCTAAAACCTTTATTTTAGTATGATGAAAAAAATAGAAAAGTACAGTTTATTGTATGACCTTATTTGGAAAGAAATTCATATTTCTAAACCAAATTTGAAGGTATTTTGGGTCCCCATTTGGAATGCTTTCCCTGAAACAGACCAGTTCACGTATCCTGTAAATCTACATAGTTTTTGTCAGGGCCCAATTTGTATAACTAATAATAGAAAGAGTTTTTTAAGCACCAGAGACCAAGGGCAGGTAATATGGTCTGGAAATAGTGCTGTTTTGTGTTAAGGTTTATGTAAATATGTGGAAAATGTATATTCTTTGAAATGTATTTGCTCCAGATTTTAATATTAAATATTCAAATGTATATTCATGACCCCTCCTACGTGTAGGAAATCTGCAAGTTTACTACTTTTCAACTTGTGAGATGCTGCCAACTAGAATTTTTGTGGGAAAGAAAATAGAGATTTGAATTACACAGTAAAAGAAGGAGTAAATGTATCTTTCGTGTATATATAAATGATGATGATAATGTGTTTATTATGTGCATATATAGTGTAGAATGAATATATGTATGATGTAATGATTTAAGGACAGTACAAAATTAGAGCCTCCCAAATATCCTAAGCCTTCAAATAGTAAACATTAGGGTGTTAATTTTTTGAGAGTATTCAAAAAATCAGTTTTTCCCGTTATTTTTCGTGTGTTTGGATTCAGTGTCACTAGTGGGAATATAATGGAAGCCGTACTAAACAACTTTGTTATTGCTGAGGTTTATGAACATTGGTGATTGTTTTTTAGACTAGTTAGTTCCCTCATTTCTCTCTCTCCCACCATGTATGTTTATATACCAATATATAGATATAAAGAGATATAAACAGATACAGATACATATATATGTCAGGGAATAGCTGTGCACTGTAATGCTAAGTATTTTATATATTTTGTGTCATTTAATCATAAAGCCAGAAGAGGTGTTATTATCATCAAAGATAAGTAAATGGATACATTTAATATGTGACAGAACTAGATTTGAACACAGATCTGTCTAATTCATAAGCACCAGAAAAGTCTATTTACCAATATTTAGTTCCCAGAAATAATTTGGATAGACTACCTATAGGAGTAATAAGGTACAGCTACCATTTGTATGACTGTCTTTTTGTTTATTTGTTTTTACAGGAGCTTTCAAGATGAATTATACCGAGTCCAGCCCATTGACTGAATCAACAGCAGTAGGTTTTACACATGAGTTAGAAAGTATCACACCTGTGCCTTCCAATGGGACCACTTGTGAAAACTGGAGAGAGATACATCATCTAGTTTTTCATGTAGCAAATGTTTTTTTTGCCATTGGTTTGATTATTCCAACTGCTCTTCACCTTCATATGATACTTCTTAGGGCGATGTTTGCTATCGGTAAGATTCTAACTGAGATGTTATGAAGCTTCTGTTACTGGCATCAGCTGCGTTTTGTCCGGGGGGCTTCAGGTCTGTAGCATACCAAAAATATAAGTCTTCATGCGAGAATTAGCAATATATCAAGTATCTTAGAGCATAGGCCTCCACATGCCGCATCCTCCTTTACTTACTTTAGATAAAACTAAGTGTGTTTTCCTATGTTGCTTAGATTTTCCAGATATCAGAAAAGCCATTCTTGTGCAAGAATGTGGACTCTGGAACCAGATTGTGTGATTCGAATCCAGGTTCCAACACTTGCTAACGGTGTAACTGTGGCAAGGGATGTAACTTCTCTATGCCTCAGTTTCCCCATGTGTCAAATGAGGGGAAAAATAGTAGCACCTCCTGGGATTGACTTGAGAATTAAATGAGTGTGTGTCACATATATATTTGACTTATAATAGTACTGGGACATAGTAAGAACTATATAGTCTTAACTGATTATTTGAATAGATGTTTACTTGCTGTGGCCAGTAAAACAACATTGGAAACAAAAGCAATTACCCACACACAATAGTTCAAGTTAAACTTTTTTTTTTGAGGAAGATTAGCGCTGAGCTAACATCTGCTGCCAATCCTCCTCTTTTTGCTGAGGAAGATTGGCCCTGAGCTAACATCTGTGCCCATCTTCCTCTGTTTTATATGTGGCATGCCTGCCACAGCATGGCTTGACAAGCAGTATCCTAACCGGCGAACCCTGGGCCACGGAAGCGGAACATGCAAACTTCATCACTGCGCCACTGGGCTGGCACCTCAAGTTAAACATTTTTGGAGGCCCCAGTAACCCTGATGAAGCGGGTTAAATTAATTCATGTCAAAATACTAAAATAATTGAATTATTTTAGACAGTGATTCTTGATAAATTACTCTCTATGTAATTATTTTCCTGATGATTCATTTATTCAGGTGCATTTTTAAGCACCTGTAATGTGTCAGACAAAGGTTGAAGAAGGCAGTCTCCATCCTTGAGAAAGACACTCTTTTGGGGGCCAGAGAAAATCAGATAGGCAGTCACATATGACATGTCAGATGCTGGGATGCTGGTGTGCAGCCAGTGCCGGGCAGAAATAGAGAGGATGGGCTCTGTGGAAAGGCAGAGCAAGATCCCACTGAGAAGATGACATTGGAGCTGGCTTTTGGAGGATGAGCAGGGTTTCTCTGATTGTGAGCATGTGTGGTAGCCAGGTAAAGGGCACAGGGGAGAGGGAAATTCAGCATATTGAGGGACAGTGAAGAGTAGCTCATTGTGCCCAAAATATATGAAAAATGACAAGGAACGGTCAAAGAAGAGGCTGGAAGGGTAGCCGGAAGGTCACTGGTGGGACTTCTGTGGCTTTTGCCTCTGAGTAAGCTAGAAATTGCAGCAGGAGGAGCAAATGTTGAGTAAAAACAAAAACCACACCCTATAAAAAGCAAAAGTGTTTGAATCCTGGGCGCAGACATGGCACTGCTCATCAAACCACGCTGAAGCGGCGTCCCACATGCCACAACTAGAAGGACCCACAACTAAGAATACACAACTATGTACCGGGGGGCTTTGGGGAGAAAAAGGAAAAATAAAATCTTTCAAAAAAAAAAAAAGCAAAAGCTAATTATGAATTTTAAGACAGAGTTTTGGAGATGGAACAGACCAAGGAGATCACTAGTCCAAAACTTTATAAATAGAGAAACTGAGGCCTGGAGAAGTTAAATGAGTCATCCCAGATTAAGACCAGGAGAAAGTGGCTAAACCAGGACTATGATGCTGGCCCTCCAGCTTCACAGTCAGTCCTTCCATTATGTTATCCCGTCTCCTTTAAGTAATTGCTAGATAATGTTATTTAAAGAACATCTAAATTTTTATATTTTGGGCCATTATTCAGGTGCCCCAAATCATTCTGATAAAATAAAAAATTGCAAATAAATAACTTTTTAAAGTGAGAGGTTAGCTTTTATGTCTGTATGTGTCACTGATATATCATATTGATAATTTATTTTAAATTAAAAATATATATTGACTCTCCCATCAGAAAATTGATCAAAAGAAACTGGAAATTTGTAATTTGTACAAACCTTTTAGAAAACAATTCTTCAGTGTCATCAAAAGCTATAAATTTCGTTCCCTTGACTTACTGTCAGGTAATGCACTCTAAGCAAGCAGTCTCAAAAATAGATAAATTTGTATTTATAAAGCTGTTTTGGCTACTTATCAAAAATTACACCCCAAAAATCTCATTTGTCTACCAGTAGGGAGATGGTTAAATAAATTATGGTTTAATCAGTTATAGTCATTAAAAACTACGTATATGAAGAATTTTAATGAAATGAAAAAAATCACTGCAGTAAGTAAAAGAGTAGATTTTTAGATTGTATATTCTATGGTTTGCCATCAGATGAAAATGCATAAAAACTGCAAGTATCAGCACTGGTCTTAAGTATGTAGTAGAATTATGGATTTTTTTCCCCTTTTAAAAAATATTTTCTAGGGGTCGACCGGGTGGTACAGCGGTTAAGTTTGCACGTTCTGCTTCTCTGCGGCCTGGGGTTCGCTGGTTCGGATCCCGGGTGCGGACATGGCACTGCTTGGCAAAAGCCAGGCTGTGGCAGGCATCCCACATATAAAGTAGAGGAAGATGGGCACGGATGTTAGCTCAGGGCCAGTCTTCCTGAGCAAAAAGAGGAGGATTGGCAGCAGTTAGCTCAGGGCTAATCTTCCTCAAAAAAGAAAAATAATTTTCTATACTTCACAAATTTTCTGCAACAAAGTATGGGGTTTTTTTTCGTAATCAGACAAAAACCAAAATGTAACTTAGTGTGTTGTTTGGCTTCGATATTTCTAGAATGTGTTTGGCTTATTTTACGTACAGAGGATAGCAGATTTATTAAGCTACCTTCTGAAGCTGTTCTAGACATCTCACGTGTGAACTTTGTTATTCAACAGGATGTACCCTTTATATCGTCTGGGCCACTCTCTACCGATGTGCCTTGGATATCATGATCTGGAACTCTGTGTTCCTGGGTGTCAACGTTTTGCATCTTTCATATCTTTTGTACAAGAAAAGACCGGTAATTACTAAAAATTAATCAATAAGGAAGAGATTTTAAAGCTTAAAAGCTTTTAAGGTACTTTGTTCAGACTTGTGAAGAAACATGTAACATCTTTATTCCTTTTAATATCATTTCTTTGAAGATTAGACTTTTTGTTTATATACACCTGAAGGTGAAACATTTGAATAGCATGAAATTTGTTCTGTAGGCAAGTTTTTAAAACTTTTTAAATCGTTAAGGCAATTTGGACATGAGAGACCATGACAATTTTCTCTCTTTTTTTAGTCATATAACTTCATTATTTCTTTTGTCTCCTGATATTTAGATGTCACTTGGGAATATCTTTGCCTAGTTATAAAATTAATTATTCATAGGCGACTTCCATGAACATACCAATGATTGACAAATAGCTCATGTTATTTTTTTATGCCATTTTTTTAAATGTAATGACTGTATATATTTTTTCTTACGCCCAAAATATTCATTTAACGAAGTCACCATTTTTGGTGAGTAGTTACCAAAACACTAGTATTTAAGTTTTTCTTTTCAACTCCAATTGAACTCGTTGTGTTTCCTTAGTCATACTAAGAACAAAAAGGGGTAAATAGAATAGGAAAACAGCATGGCTCCTAGACATCGCTCCATACATAGTTTCTGACTGTCCAAAGCACACCAATATTCAGTAAAGCAAAAGATGTAATACTTGTCCTAATCTTATGTTCAAGGCCAGACGTGTGTAGAAAACTATTAGAAAGTAAGACAATTCATAGGAAATTACAATTTGAATGGCACAGATGATATATGTAATAGGCGTTCTCCTAAACTGTAGCCTCCTCAAACACTGTAACCTGGGTTGCTTACTGTATTACTTGATTTTCTCTAGCTTATGCTGTGTAATAAACAACCCGAAAATCTCAGTGACATATGATGCAACAGGTTTTTTCCTCACCCACCTTAGACGTGGACTGTGGCAGCTGTGTGGCAGCTGTGATTCTGTTCCATGTGTCTTCTTCTTTTCAAGTCTCTGCTGAAGCAGCAAGTTCTGTTTGGACATGCACTCTCGTGGCAGAGAGAAATGTACAAGAGAACAAAAGAGAGACACCCAGTATCTCTTAAAACTTCTGCTCACATTTCATTGGCCAAAGCAAGTGACATGGCCAAGTCTGACAATGTGGGAGTAGGGTGGGACAAGGGAATGTGTAATCATATTACAGGAGGTGGGAGCAGCAAATCACTGAGAACAGTAATATCATCTACCACACTTACTGTCGTATTCTCTGTTCCTGTCAACCATGATTCACACATCATAGGTGCTCAAAAAAACATTTGATGAGTGGATGCTTTCAAAGAGAAGACTTCAGAAGGCTTTGTGAATGAATTGGAACTTGAGCTAAGCCTTGTAGGATGAGCAGATTATGAATATGAGTCAATAGGTTTTTCAGTTCGTATGTTCATAACTGTGCCGCATTGGCTAGCGTGCATTCTGGAAATGAGACATGTTTGTGAATAAATTATTTTAAACACTCATTACTAGAGCTCTGGAGTGGAGGAGGTAGATGAAAGTAATAGTGAGGATTACAGTTTCAGAATATCAGAACTTGCTGGAACCCCAGGTTCTGGATATAAGGTTCAGAAGTTGCTGATGTGATGATCACACTGCGTACGTAAATCACTTAGCATCTGTGCTTTTCTTTCTTCTTGGACTATCAGCCTACTTTTTTGAAGGACATAAATGCTGATTCTTCATTAGCATGAAACAACAGGACAAGTAAGAGCATTGCAGATGCTTCAGTCACGTCTGAGCAGCTCTCATGATCTGGGTTTGTGGGCTTCATAGTGTAGCAGCCATGGATTTCGTTGGGATGGATGATCGTTTGAGCACCAGTCTTAACTCACGTGCAGTACCATTTTCCCAGACTCGTGCTGGGCCCACAGATGGGCTGTGACCTGGGCCTCGGATAGTCTGACAATAGGGACAATTTTCCTTTTCTCTTCTCCAGTAGCCAGCTTTACTTTCCAGGGGCTCTCCAGTCTACAGAGTTTATTTTAGCTTAGGATGAAATTGCTGTGCTGAAACCCTTTTATATTCCACTTCACTTCAGAATAAGAAATGAGAAGCAAAGTTTGCGGTCGTGGATGTTTGTTTTCCTATATTGATGCATTAAACAATAATTGCATGTAGATAAAGTGCTGAAAGTGTGTTTTCATGAATTTCTTTCCACATTGATTCCTGTTTTATGTGTTTATTTTCTTGCTGTAATGTTTCAAAGTTCATATAATTTCTTTCTGTGAAGCAAGTGTTCTAAAAATGAAAGGATCTTGTGTTATTTAGAGCGTTTTGCTAAGATCAGGAAGGTGAATGTTGTGACAACATTCAAAACCTCCACAGTTGCTTAATGGCGCACAGGAAGAGATGTGATCAGTAGTGCAAATCTTTCCCATATGCTCTCAGAGTTCAGTCCAACCACAAAAGTGCCCTTTTAGCAAGTAAACTTAGATCACTACTTGCTCTCTGTGTAAGATTCCATTTGTTTGTTCTCAAAACCGTGTTGAGCCCACGGAAGCCAGTGTTGTGGTGTTGCCGCTTTAGTGCAGCATCTAGCCATTGCTGCATTTCAGGTGAAGATTGAAAAGGAACTCAGCGGTATCTACCGGCGGTTGTTTGAACCGCTCCGTGTGCCTCCAGATTTGTTCAGAAGATTAACCGGACAGTTCTGCATGATCCAAACCTTGAAAAAGGGACAGACTTATGCTGCAGAGGATAAAACCTCAGTCGACGACCGTCTGAGTATTCTCCTGAAGGGAAAGTAAGTGGTCCATGGAAGTTGAAATTCCCAGTTTGCCTTGAGTCTTATCATGGCCTCTGGGTAGGAAATGAATGGAAGGGCATGTTGCTAACTGATGGAGGAAGTAGTCACAGAGTTTGTCACTGGTGAAATTTCATTTTACCACCGCATTTTAGAATAGAGCAACATGTTAATGTTACATAGAATTTGCTGCCCTGAATCTTGTTGATGTCAGGATTTTCAATTAATATTTTTAACCTTTTATTTAAAATTTATGAGTCAACGCTGAAGTAGGTTTAAATTAGGCATTAAAATTCAAGAAGCTTATGCATATTTCAGAGGTGGTTTATTTTTTGAATTTCACAAAAATACAACTTCCAGCAACATCAGTCTTCTGGAGACAGAGCCAGTGTATATTGTTCTGGCATAATTATTCATACCACCCCTTTCTCTCTCAAAAGTGTCTGAGTTTGAGGGTGTGGCCCAGTAGTGTAAGTAGTTGAGTTTGGCACTCTCCACTTCAGCAGCCTGGGATTTGTGGGATCAGATCCTGGGCATGGACCTAAACCACTCACTCATCAAGCCATGCTGTGGCAGCATCCCACATACAAAATAGAGGAAGATGGGCACAGATGTTAGCTCAGGGCCAATCTTCCCCAAGCAAAAAGAGGAGGATTGACAACAGGTGCTAGCTCAGGGCCAATCTTCCTCACCAAAAAAAAAGTGTGTGAGTTTGAGTAATAAATTATATGGTCACTCCAGCTATAAGAGCAATGATAACCAATGGAGGGCACACATCTGATGCGATGCAGGATGCTGTCTTTTTGTTTTTCTTGTTATTGGTGAAATTTATTTTGAAATAAACACTTATGCTTCAGGAAGTGCTTTTAATTTTGCCAGTCATCTGTGGAGTCTTTCAAACTTGAATATAAAATGCAAAGCCATAAGATTATGGAAATTTTAAGGATTGTCATGTTATTGGTGAAACATCATGTGTTTATTAACATTAATTTCTGTTATCAGAATGAAGGTCTCCTATCGAGGACATTTTCTGCATAACATTTACCCCTGTGCCTTTATAGATTCTCCTGAATTTAGATCAACTCAGATGCACAAAGGTGAAAAATTCCAGGTATGTTTTGGCATGATTTTTAAGAAGATTGAAACTAGTTTATGTCTCATTCAAAATCCAAAGGATATTAATAGAAAAGTGGCCATGATTTGTTGAAAAAAGAGATTACCGTATGGTATGTATAGCATGATCCCATTTTTGTAAAACTTAAAATAGTGCATATATGTGCACAAGAGAGGTCTAGAAAGAGGTACCCAAATTTGGACATAGTATTAACACATTGCTGGTTTGTGAGTTTGATTCCTTTTTTGTTTTCTTCAATTTTTTATTTTTTCCTTTTTCTCCCCAAAGCCCCCCAGTACATAGTTGTATACTCTTCATTGTGGGTCCTTCTAGTTGTGGCATGTGGGACGCTGCCTCAGCGTGGTTTGATGAGCAGTGCCATGTCCGCGCCCAGGATTCGAACCAACGAAACACCGGGCCGCTTGCAGCGGAGCGCGCAAACTTAACCACTCGGCCACGGGGCCAGCCCCTACTCTTTTATGTTTAATGAATATGTTTAAGGGCAAAGAATGAAGGTTTTCATAGTTAAAATAATTAGAATGTGTACCACTCGCGTGATTCTTTTTGTTATCTTAAAAAACATTTGCTCCATTATGTGGCACTTTGTTGGGATTCTTTTTGTAAGTATCCAGTCCTCCTATTTTATTCCCCTCCTTATTGGTAGGAAAGTCACCAAGAAAATGGGTGAGCGTTTCCTTTCATCTCAGCCTCTCGATAAACAGCAGGAAGGAAATATCCTGAGAACGGGGTTGCTTATGAACAAGAGGGTAAATCTATGTAGGTAAGAAATGGAATAGAAGGTAATGTTGTCACCTGAGGGAAGAAACGTCAGTGTTTCTTGATGACAAATCTTATTTTTGAGTCTCATTTAGAGATGCTATACAATTTGGAAGATAAAAGGGAAAATTTACAGACACAGTGTAGTTTAGTTACAATGATTTCAGCCCTGCCCTGCTCCCACCTGCCCTGCCTGAGTAACCTGCCTGGGTTACTAACTGCACAACTTGTTAAAATTAAGTGTATTTCCTAGAAGGTCTCATATAATTTCACTAACTGGGTACAGTGCTGTTCCCAAGCTGACTGAGCTTAAGATACAGAAGGAGAGAGCGAATGCTGTATCCTGGCTCCTGGTTCCTCTAGTTTACACGCTCACTGTGTGTTTGTGAAGGTTCGCTGTGCACTGAGATTTATGTTCTTATTGTATCTTTAATCACCACCATCTACAGACTCAGATAGGGCCACTTCTTTCCTGTGACTTCCTTACAATTTCTTTTTCCACAGTCCAGCTTTCCTCTCTTGTATCCATTTGTGTACAGTAGCAGGTGGTTTTACACAATAGCTCAGTCTCATATAATCCTGAAGAGACTGGAATCTGGGGAGAGGACGGGAACTGAACCTTCTTTGTTTCCAGAAGCAGGTGGCCCCTGAGAGGCCAGGGATATAACATGTGCTATCTTTTCCACTAGACTTCAAATTATATTATACAGTCATGTTCTGCATAACGATGTTTTGGTCAACGATGGACCACATGTAAGATGGTGGCCCCGTAAGATTAATACATATAGCCTAGGTATTTAATAAGCTATGCCATCTAGGTTTGTGTCAGTATACTCTATGATGTTCATACAACGACACAGTTGCCTGACAATGCATTTCTCAGAACATGTGCCCATCGTTAAGCATCGCATGACTGTCTTTATAATTAAGTTAACTGAAAGGAACTCCTACCACCAGTTACAATTCTCTTTCTTCTTGAGAACTGGGGGTTAGGATTTGGTAGTTGAGAAATGTTCCTGCTATTGCTATGAAGATTCCAAAAACATTACCAAAGTTCAGGGACCATAGCCAGGTGAAGGATATTTATTCAGCCTTTCCAAATACCAGTCAGCTTTTCTCTGCGTAGAGTCTGGTGTGGCATTTCCTGATTGGTCAGTGCATTAAAACTCCTCCGGCATCCTCGAACCTGTGCCTTGTACAGTTGGAGCAGACTCCATTAGAACAAGCCCTTGGGAGAGATTGTGGTGATTGTTTACAAAATGTTCCCATTGGCAGATAGTCAAGAGTAAAAATAGCTGTTGCACATCTGTGTAGGAGTCCATTGCCTCTTTCTGAAGCAAGTTCCCAATGAAAAATGTCATGTGCTCCCAGGGCCCACTTCTCATTACCTGTGGCAGAGGACACTTGAAAGTATCAGTGGTCAAACTTCTCCACCCACAGACTTTTTACCTGCTAATCTCATTATTCTGTAACTCTGAATGGTTACATGTGTGCTGACAAGGAGCTACTTCCTTTGAATTTTTATTTCTTTAAATTCGTTCATTGGTAGGGGTGCTCGTGAATTATACAGTTGGGTGAAAGGAGGAAAGAAAGGCCAGTGAACTCAATGACTGTCCCTTGAGATTGCACACAAATGTTGAACAGGTACATGTGGTCACTTCAATGACAGGTGTAGTGACAGAGCTGAGAAAACAGATTCTGAACTTACAGCTGCTCCCTCAGTGTTGACAGTCACTTGGGTACTTACAGATCAAAGTCGTTCCTTAGAACTGTGGATAGAATCTTGACTATCATTACTACAAAAAAAGTTGTCTTTTGTGTTTGGTTTCCTCTTCTTTGTGCCTTTGTTTTATATCAAGTGAGCTTCACCGTTTACTTGTTTTTCTTTTGTATTCTGTCTCCCACTACTGCCTTCCCATAGTCAATAGCATGTCCTGTGCTGTGAAGCCTGAAAATCAAAGCTTTATTGACTTTAAGGGAAAAAGAATGTCTTGGAGGCAGATGTCCAAGCTCTTGTGAAATAAGGAACGCTAAGTTTTAATGGGTATTTAAATAAAACCTTATCTCAGCAGTAAGTAAATCTCTTGGTTAAGCTGCGTAGCAATTTCATCTGCCAGTGTTGATTCTGCTGTATTTTGGTGCTTATGAGAACTCAGTAAGCATCAGTTGAATAGACCACTTCTAGGGCATTTTCGAGTTCCTGGTGTGTGAAATGTATGATACATGAAGGAAAGAATAAATTCTCCCCTGGGGACAGTCAACCAGTTGTATTGTCAGACTGCTGTTTCCGATGCTAGCACATTGAGCCATTCCCTCAGACACCCTTGTTCTTATGTAATGTCTTCTCATTTTGTGAAGGTGCAGAATTGGTTTGGAATCTAAAGTGAGGGACTGAGCCAATGCCTTCAGGTCGCACAGCAAACCCGGTTACAAACCCTTAGTCTAATTCTCCACCTGAAAGAAATCCTTTTGTGTCTTTTATTGCCCTGCTTGCTCTTATTTCTTCACGAAAGTTCTTCTCAAGAACTCAAGCATGACACTGCTGAGGGACCCTAATAACTTAAGAAGCAAATTTATTTTACAGAAGCTTTAAAAATTCCTACATTGCTTAATAAAAATTCCTCATTAAAAATATGTTTTACTTGACTGTTGTGACAGGAAATCATTAAATGAAACTGTCTACTTGGCAGAAATGAAACATTAGCTGTCAAGTAAAATGACCTTGGTCAATATGCTACCTACCCACTTCCAACTAAACACCTGCTCTTATGGACTTGTAAGTTATTCATGCATACTGTAGGTATCGCTTATTATTTGAATACTGTTATTAAATTTAAATTTGGTAACAATTTAAACAGGTTTAAAGTATTTTTCAACCATCAATAGGAAATGGATTTGCTAAGCAAATTATAGTATATATTAAAAATATCATTGCCTCAGTAGAAGCTGGAGATTGTTAAAATTGTTGAAGAGAAGAAGTTAAATGCGTTATACATCACCAAGGTTCAATTTCGTTTTTTTCTCCTGGATGATTTCCAACTCCCCTTTTAACTTTTTCCCCCATTGCACATGAATTTTATTTTCCAAAGTCGTGGATGACATCTTCGCAGAATGAAGGAACCCCAACCGTCCTAAACCTTTCTTCAGTGCTTGGGTGCGTGACTGGGCCACTGTGAGTACCCAGTGCACACCTTTCTCTAATTCCTCCTATACAATATTCTTTAGTTGCCTTGTGTTTACTTACCCATCTCCTCCTGTTTCTAGGAACTCTGCAGAACTGGCTTCACTATATACTTCTCTTCCTATAAACCTTGTCTTTTTTTGTTGTACGTCTTTGCTTGTTATCACATTCCTCCACTAGAATGTAGACTTCATTACGTTGTGTTCAGCTGTTCTTTGCATGTGGGACTCTCAAGGGTGAGCCAACCTTGTGCACTTGGCCAGATTACTTTCGATGTGATGGTCTTGATGAATATTGAGCACATTGGGTAGATTTTGGCCTGGTGGGAAAATGTGTCTGGGCTGGAAGTCAGAAGTGCTCACTCCACTGCTAATTAACGTGTTCGTGAATACGTTTTGTTGGTGCTTCTCATTTGGCATCTGAAAAATGGGGAGAATATTACCTGTCTTATCTTAAAGGCAATTTTGAGGATCCACTTACAGGTAAATGTAAAAGCACCTAAATGTTTAAAAGTAAAATACGTAAGGTGAGTGGCATCATGTGCTGCTGTCATTCCCTGGTCATTCTCTGCCACTTTCCCCTGTTCTGTATTTGTCAAAACTCTTATTGCTGCCTGAGGGTGTCATATTTCTTTATTTTTTTCAGCCTTCTCCACCAGAATGTAAGCTTCACAGGGCAAGGATCTTGTCTGTCTTGTTCCCTATTTTAACCTCCGTGCCTTGTCAGTGTCTGGCATAAAGTTCACGCATAATAATGTGTTTTGAAAGAACGAATGGAATTTAGTGTTTTATTGAATCATAGAGCTGCTGATACATTTCTTAAATCCAAATGTGTTTGGTTTTGGAGATTCCTACTTTTAATATAATAAATAAGTGCAAACTTTTTTCTAGGAGTATTGACCCACTTTCTAAAGTAGCCAAACCTTCTGATTTGCTAAAGATCAGATTTTAGCTGTTGACATAAGGAGAGAAGCTGTGTTTTCCATTTTCTCTCTTGGTATACATAAATATGCCCTTGTCATCTGAAATATGTTTAATTTTATGACTAGCCAAGGGGAAAGCACTCCTTGGAAATATTTGTTCTGAGGCTCAGATATAACTTAATGTCGATTTAAGAAACGTTTATTAATCTCCTACTTGGACAGGCATTGGGTTTAATGCTGAGGAAGGAAAAATGGTTTCTGTCTCAACAGTATTCGCATCCTTTTGTGAATTCTTTCGTATAATAAATACTCGTTGAGCACCACTCTGTGTTGGAAGCCGGGCATTCAGACAGGAGGATGCATTATTCCTGCCATCAGAGTGCTCAGGAGAGACAGATCTGTCAACAGATTCAGTAGATTTTGGATTCAGTGATATGTGTGCATCATGAAGCTCAGAGGAGGAGGACTAAATGATGGGAAGGGACCTGCGTGGGAGGAAGGGCTTCTTGACACTGAGCTGTGAGTGTGGCCATGGCCCTCACTTGGGAAACAATTTACTTGAGGAATACTTGAGCTCTGTGTAGTGTGATTACAGTGCTTTCCCACTTTCCGTGTAACAGTACGTAGGGAAAGGGTATGGTTTCCCAGTTCTGAGCTAACTGTGAGATCTCTGAGTGTCCCCAGTGGGCTACCTGGGAGCTAGCCTTGAAAGGTCACACACAAGAAATACCTATGACAGAAGGACCCTCACTAGCCATATTCATCAGTAATAGCCCGGGCCTTAAAACCAATTCACAGGAGGCCATTTTCTCATTCTCGAGTGTGTGTGTACACAGTCAGCTAGACAGAAGTTCTTTCATGCGTAACTTGCCTCACGAATCTTACCTCACTTCCTTTGCTTGAAGCTGTATTCATAAACCTCTGTTGTAATTATCAGGGTGTAAAGAAATATTTAGCCCAAAATTATTTGTCCAATTGGAACATCAGTCTAGCGCACTTTACAGTAGCGGCATTGACACACTGGCCATTGTCACCACACGTTGTCACCACACCTCGCAGAACAAAACAACAAAACTCAGAGTATGTGCTTTTATTTAGCCTGAAGATTGCTTTTAAACGTAATTTTATATTTAGTTATAGAAGCTTGTGTGTATTGGGTCTTATTTTAATTTAACTGGTATGACAAATCATGGCTATAATAATATCCACTAAATTATTCTACTCCTTCCTTCCCCCAGATTACTACAGTCAGAATTCATACCCATAGATGTACTTGTTTCTTTCTATGTTGTTTCTTCGGCAGGTCACCATTATTGCAGATGATAACTGCAGATTTTTATGCTGGTCAAGAGAAAGATTAACTTACTTTCTGGAATCAGAACCTTTCCTGTATGAAATATTTAGATATCTTATAGGAAAAGACATTACAAATAAGCTGTACTCATTGAATGATCCCACCTTAAATGATAAAGTAAGTATTTTTCTGAGTGTCTTTATTTTGTTAAATAAATATGTATAGTGAGGTATACCTCACTTTGTGCCATATATATTTTCCTAAATTTTCATCAATTACTCATATGTTAAGTGAAACGGAAACACTTGTAATTTAGAGACCTTTCAGGGAATCATTTCTCAAGAGTAAGGAAGTATTTTGTAATATATTTGCTGTGATCCAGTGAGGTGTCTCTAAATGTCAGGGACCTCCATTTGAGGTGATGAGGTCTGTCCTCTTCATATTAAACACTCTAAGGAAGATGGTAAGGGAGGCGAGGGAGCGGGGGTGGAGTAGGCCGGGGAAGGCAGGGCGGTGAGGAGGCTGCAGACTGAGAAAAACTGACAAACCCCAGCGAGCAAGCGGGAAGTTGGCATTTTCACCCAGGTCTCTTCCAGTCTTGCACTTCCGCCTGATCGGCCCCGCTCCCGGAAAGCCCCTAAGTGACAAGAGAGGTCTGGGACGGAAGCCTGTGGCAATTCATTTAGGAATTTCAGAGCTGTGTAGGTCTTCAACAATGTACACTTTGATCTTCATATCCCCACATTTTCTTAAAAGGAAATTAAAATGATTACAGACAACAACTTGCAAAATATTGTTTCTGTGATAAGTACTGTTCTCGAGGGGCTGTGAGTATGCGTGAGTGCTCTCTTATAGTCATCTTATCTAGGCGGTTTATCAGATTCTGTTGGTACTTATTATTTTTCAGATTAGTAAGTAGGCTATTGAGTGTATTAAATTTTTTATAATGTATTTTAGTAATAGCTTATAATACAAATTATAGCTAACATTTAATTGGGTACTTACTATGTATCAGGTAATCTTTGATTTCAAGGAAAAGTATAAATGCTGCATAGAGGGAATATATGATATAAGTCCCATCAGTTCTCAGAAATCTTAAAACTTTGCTTTGTAGAAGGCCAAAAAGCTGGAACACCAGCTCAGCCTTTGCACGCAGATCTCCATGCTGGAAATGAGGAACAGCATAGCCAGCTCCAGTGACAGCGAAGACGGCTTACACCAGTTTCTTCGGGGCGCCTCCAGCGTGTCCTCTCTTCGTAAGTTATCCTCGAACTGATAATACTCTCGGATTCTGATGGATGTTACTAGAAATAGATAGATGCAACTTTGATCAGAAAAATTACTTTGCAAGTAACTATTTGGCAACCTAAAGGTAACAATAAACATAATTAAATTTTTACTAGGGACTTTATTTTCCGTATTGCACATCAGCTAAAATCCAACTTTAGAACTCTTAGTTCCATCTCAGAAACTATTCACTTGTTTTGCCATATACTCTTCTTAAATACTGATTCACTGGCATAGTGTGGAGGAGTCCATATGGTTTGCTGGATATTTGCCTTTGTTGTTTTCATGATTTTAGTTCCAGTGAAAGCCTAGACCCAGCAATGTGTTAAAAATGGTGGGAACCAACTGCTGGATGTTTCACTGCTGGCTGGCTATCACAGTGGAAGCACCAAGAGTTAGGTGATTGGGTAATGGAGTATTCCAGAAGATGAAGGAAACCACTCAACACCCCTGTGAGTTACCTCATTCACACACCCACCAAGAGGCATGTTTTCCAAGAAGAATCTTGGATTGTTTAGATTGTTTTAAAGCATTCTAAGTAACACTAATGTCAATGGATGTTGAAAGTAAAATGAGTAAGTAAGTAAAATGAGATTAAAATTAAATTTAACTTTAAATTAAATGCTTAAAATTAATGCGTAAAATTATTTTCAGAATTATTCTAGGAATGATAGTATAAGAACTTTGAACAAATTCATGTGAAATAGCAAAAAGGCAGATGAATTCTCCCATTGCATAACCTAAAAACTATTAATATTTCCAATTGTATATTACTCCAAAGTAACTTTTAATGCAGGTACACATTGAACATTCCTAATGTTTGTGTAAATGATCTTGTAACTTTGGATGCTTTAGATGAATTGGATTAAGGATTTTAAGTATTGCATAGTCAAGAGAGGCTGGAATTTGACAAGGCCATATAATTGGTGTAAGTTTCCAATGCAAAGTCTGTGACATAGAAATGGGTTGTGGGCCTAAAGGAGATTTCAGGAACAACACAAATGAGAAACTGGAAATAGTTGTATTTTATTCCAGAGTAACTATTGAAAGTACTAGCTGAGATTGACCATCTCTGAAATCTGGTAGCATGTCGAATGTATCATCTGCCTTGTTGAAACAGTTCAGTGGTCGATAAGCATTTTCAAATGGACCCATCTTAATTATACGTATAGTGATTGCTATATTAAGAAAGGTCAACCGAAAGGGAATTATACTTAAATATTGTATGTGAATTATTTTTCCTATAGAATATCTTATTTTTGTAGTTCTTTTTTTTAGTTTTACAGTCTTGCTTAAGAAGCACTGAGAACAAGCAATATATATAGTGTGACCGTTTATTTTCTTAAAATCAGTTTATTTTTCCTGTAGTATTTTATTGTATAATCTAAATCTTTTGGGGCTAACATTTTACCAAAAAAGGCTTATCTCGAGTAAGTTGTTTAAATAGAATTAAAACATGTTTTCAAGATTAAGTACTGTACAGTACTTTCAAGATGAGTACTGTACTTGCCTCCAGACACCTGTATTTCCAGGTGTTCAATGGATTGATCACACGCCTACAGACCTGGGTTCAGGTCTTGCTCCAATAATTATTAGCTGTGTGACCTGGAGTAAGTCACATGAGCTTTCGAATCTGACATGAGCTGTCGTATCTCGACACAGACCTGGTTCTGGTCCCAGCTCCTGGTCTGTTTCCTTCCCTCTTATCGTGAATCGTGAGTTTAAGCCAAACAGCCGTTCCCTGCGTGGATAATTAGAACTTCAGAGTTTGCACAGAAGTGTGCTCCCCTGGAGATCAGGGTCGCAGTTTTACCTCTCAGTTCCCTTGTCTGGTTGTATGCTGCCGTACTAAAAATGGGTGCACCCTGCTTCAGTTGTTTGATTATTGCAGCCTCGGGTTTGTTATGCAGAATCTTACATATGATCCAAATGCATATAGCTACCAATGTGTGCATGTTTTTGAGCGTGTGCGTGTGAATTGCACAACAGATCCGTGTTTGTACCTGCTTCCCTTTGACCAGTCCTCATTCTGAGTTTCTCGGCTTCACTCCTGCCATTTAACAAAAGATGTTAGTACTTGAGCACAACATTGATGCTAATTATGAATTATTTAATGCACCCCAGCATGTAATTCATTAAAAACTGATTCGTTCTTGTTTCTCTTGCTTAGGTGTTAGCTCAGAACTACAGAAGGCTGTTTTTGTTTTTCTTTTGCCAGACCCATCAATATATGCCATCTACTTTTCCAGATTAAAAATTACATTCCTTGTAAAACTGAGAATACGAAACCAGTCTCTTAGGACTGTTAGGCTGAAATAAAATTTCTCACATTTTGAGCATGTGGTAGGCCTTTATCAATGTTAGGTTCCTAAAAAATGACTAAGCTCTTCTTATTCCGGGTTTCTGATGGGCCAGTGGGGGCAACTGTGGTAGCCGCTCTGAGCAATGGTATCAGCTTCACCATGGAGAGAAGGAACAACGTTTATTGACAATAGCAGCTATTATTTTTTCGGGTGCTCCATACGTAATCACATTTAATCTCCACTCTCATCCTGCGTGAAGAGCTGTATTAGCTTTGCCAGATGATGGGGCACTGAGAGACAGTCCCCCAAATTGTTGGCTGTGATTACGAGGCTGCCTTCTGGCTCATGTACATGCTGGTACCGCTCCCGGCGTGTCCTGCTCACTCTAGGAGAGGAGCAGTTGCTGCCGGGGTCACTGCCATTCTCATGGCAGAGGGAAGACAGTCGTGGCAGAATTACTGATGACTTTTAAAGCTCCGATTTACAAGTGTCGCATGCCACTTCCACTCATATTCCCTGGACCAGAGAAGTCACTTGGCCAAAACTGCTGTTAGTGGGTGGATCTTTAATCCTGCAGGGGTCATGCAGGAAGGGGCTGGCGAGGGAGGGAAAGCAGGTGTCTTGACAATAACACAATCTACCACATTAGTATTATTCCATTTTACAGATGGGAAAATTGGGACTAGGACATGCTTGTTCACTTATTCCACTTCCACAGGGGAGGTGCTGGGACACAAACCTAGGTATCCTGTCTCATTCCGAAGCCCAGGCTGTTAGACCATGTTGCCTCTGCATTTTAAACAGAAAAGGAAAATGCATATGATATTTGCCTAGTACTTTACAGTTTACAGGTCACTTTCACACCCCTTGTTGCATTTAAACCTGACAACTCTGCCAGCCAGGCACAGCGGCTGTTATTATTCCCCCCTTTTCAGATGAGTCCGCATACACTCAGTGACAAGGTCCCACTTACCCAAAGTCACTTCTTTCCCCTCCAGCCTCCTTCTTTGGGGAAACCTACCGTCCCCTGAATCCTTCATTATGACCAAGAATTGCTACAAATAGGTTTTCGCAGTCTGGTTAATTTCCATTTCGATGAAAATTTTTGCCTTATTCTTCATACAGGGGTTCTACATAGGAATGTTTAAAATTATCCAATAATATTCTCCAGTCATTTGCTCTTTTTTTTTTTCTGGTGAGGAAGATTGGCCCTGAGCTAACATCTGTTGCCAATCTTCCTCTTTTTGCTTGAGGAAGATTGTCCCTGAGCTAACATCTGTGCCAGTCTCTCTCTATTTCATATGTGGGACACCGCCACAACATGGCCTGACGAGAGTGTTGCATAGGTCCACGCCTGGGATCCAAATCCACGAACCCCAGGCTGCCGAAGTGGAGTGCGTGTACTCAACCACTATGTCACTGGGCTGGCCCCTCCAGTCATTTATCTTTTAATTAACTTTCACTTTGCCTCATACTTACAGAATTACAAGCAATGCTGCTCTCTAAAAATTGTTTATTTTATATATATTCCTAATTAAACAACCATCACATTATTTCCTCTAGTCATTAACTCAAATATAGAAGTAGATTTAAACATGAAAACCCATATCAACATTTCTCATAATTATTTTTCAAATTAGGATCAGCATGGACCCCTTGCACTTGGTTGAAAAGTCTCTTTGCATCTCTGGGCTCCCGTTCCATCTCTCTGTGTCTCTGTGTGTGTTTCTGCATTTTTTTTTTTAAAGATTGGCATCTAAGCTAAGAACTGTTGCCAATCTTCTTTTTTTTTTTTTTCCTGCTTTTTCTCCCCAAATCCCCTCAGTACATAGTTGCATATTTTAGTTGTGTGTCCTTCCAGTCGTGGCATGTGGGACACTGCTTCAGCATGGCTTGATGAGTAGTGCCGTGTCTGTGCCCAGGATCCAAATGAGCGAAACCCTGGGCCGCCAAAGCAGAGCATGTGAACTTAACTGCTTGGCCACAGGGCTGGCCCCTGTTTCTGCATTTTTTTTCTTTTGTCTTGTGTGGTTTGTCCTTTAGAGCATCGATTCTTAAACATAACTATGCATATGAACCACTGGGAGATCTTAAAGGTTATAATGCAGCAGACTGGGGTGGGGCCTGGGACAAGTACCCAGATGATGTCGATGTGGCTGGTCCCTGAACTACACTTGAAGCAGTGAGGTGTGGAATTCCCTCCCCGCGTTCTGGAATTTTGCTGACTGCGTCGCCATGGTTATGATTAAGATGTTTCTGTGTCTCCCATCTACCGGTGGGTAGGTCTGGAGGCTTTCATGGGTTCTGGTGAAGGCTCTACTTTTAAAGATCTCGACCAGTCTGGGATAGAATGCCACGAACGTGTTTCCTAACATTGCACAGAAAATGTTCAGTTAAACAGAAGTACAGTTGAGTAAAAGGTGAAGGGAAGCTTTAAGTGAACTGTGTAAAGGAATTGCTGCTGATCCCATTTCTTATGTTGTGCTCTATTTTGACACATCACATGACGCAAAATCCAGAGCAAGATCTTTACCACGCAGATTCTGTATTCCACTTCAAATTATCATTTGAAGGCCAGAAAGTGAAGTAATGAGATAGCCTGAGAAAAACTGCTTCCTGTCTGCTTATTTGGTAGCACATAATCCGGTTACTTTAATTCTTTTTCC